TCCATTCCAAAGGCCACTCACCCTGTTAGAAAAATGAAACTGTTTTAGCTGAAGATGACTCCTACCTTGCCAAAACTTATATTTGTCTCCTAGTCCTACTATTCTCACTGTTAAATATAAAAAAAGATGATGCATCAACACTATCAATTCCCTTTACAATCTTAAACACCTCAGTCAGATCCCTCTAACTCTTCTTTTTTCAAGATAAAACAATTTGAGAGATTTCAACCTCCCCTGATATGACAACCCCTCCATCCAAGGCATCATTACAGTAACTCTTCTCAGAACCCTTTCCAATAATTAAATGTCTTTCCTAAGGTAAGGAACCCAAGACTGAACATAATATTCCAAATGTGGCCTGGCCAGTGACCTATACAATGAAATTATAACTTCTTTAGACTACTGTTCAATATTTCTGTAGATACAACCTTAAATCCTATTTCCCCAACCACTAGCAACAGCACATTGCTTGGAGGGCTTTAGAGACTGATTTACTATTACATCAAGATCCATTTCCTTCATGACACTGTGAAGGTTATTCCCATCCAAATTATACTTATAATTCATATTATGATAACCCACATGCGTTATCTTGCATTTATTATAATTAAAACCCATCTGCCATTTATTTGCCCAACTCACTAAATGATCTAAATCATTTTGTAAAGCAGCAGCATCCTCTTCATGGCTAGTAACACCCAAGTCCTTAATGTCATCAGCAAATTTAAGTAATTTATGGACCATTCCTTCATTTGTGTCATTGATTTAAATCATAAAGAGCAAAGGTCCTAAGACTGAGCCTTGAGGTACCCCACTTATGACATTAATCCAGTTTGACTGAACTCAATATGTAACAACCCTATGCTTTCTTCCATCCAGCCACTCTTCTATCCAATTTGCTAACTTATCCCCCACACTTATAGAGATAACTGTTTTACAAGCCTTTTATGTGGCACCTTGTCAAATGCTTTCTGAAAATCCATATATACCAAATCCACACTTTTACTCTCATCCACATAAGCAGTAACCTTTTCAAAGAATGTCAAAAGATTTGTAAGGCAAGATTTTCCCTTAGTGAAACCATGTAGACTATCCAATGAAATTCTAAACTTTGTTAAATGACTTTGCAAAGCATCTTTTAACAAACTTTCCAAAACTTTTCCCACAACTGATGTAAGACTAATGGGTCTATAATGACTGGGACAATATTTATCACCTCCTTAAAAATAGGAGTTGCATTAGCTAACTTTCAACCCTCTAGTACCTGCCCACTATTCAAGGACTGATAAAAAGTGGCTTATATATCCAATCTTTAACCTCCTTTAAAACCCTTGGAGAAATACTATCTGGCCCAGGAGCCTTATCGTTTTTTAAACTTCCACATTATTTCTGAACCAGCTCAGAATTAATACAGTTGGAGCATATTTGTAGAATAGACTTCATAAAGTTAGGTTTACTTAAACCTGTGGAACAAAGTATGGTCTGTTTACTGTCTAGTTGTTGTATTTTGTGAAAACAATTGTTTAAATCATTATTCTTTCTTTTTGGAAGTGTATTTTAGCTGAAAGTTGATAGTAATAACCAGATTCCAAAATAAAAAGGTATATAATGTTTTTTATTTATTGTTGGATGATTTATTGGAGGGATGGACAACTGGAATTTCATGACACATATGTAGCTTTTTCAATGGTTGCAGAGTAGATCTTTGAATGTTTCTAATTTTGGTGTAGACGATACTATTTGGGGTTATTTGTATTTATTTTTACAATTACAACATAGTAGAGGACATACCCTATCAACTACTTGACTGCTGAACAGTTGTAGTAGTGTAGTCAAAGGTAAAATGCTGGTGAGAGTATTTCTATTACTGGTTCTGAAAGCTGTATTTTCAGTTCAGCTTCCAGTGGCTCAGCAGTAAATGTCAAGTGTTGTGCTACTAAAAAAAACAGGTTTTGATACTCATGGTAGGACAGTACAGATAGCCCATTGTGTAGCTTTGTGCTTAACAACAAACAAAGTTTTTCAGCTTCAGTATATTCTTTTTTTGCATTTAAGTTTTACAAGTTGGCCACTGTGGATTTAGTGGATTCTAAAATAAACAATACATAAAAAAACACACCAAAATATCTAAACAGTTTTTGGTAACATGTAATTGTACTGTGTTTACTATATTATATTATTTAATTTAAATTTTCAAAATTTAATATTTTCATTTCTGTAATTCATATCCAAAGGTAAAAATAAGAGGTGGTTAAAAAATATGTAGGATTCAAAATACTTTTTTTCACACTAATTAAGTAAATACAGAAAAAATATAACTGTAACCAATGCAGTTGTTTTAATAACCATCCAGTCTTCTGTCATGTTGAAAAGAAATTTGTGTGTGATTGAAAGCATTGTTGTAAAGTGTACTCATTTACTGGAAGCTTTGCTATTTACAAGGGCTTAAAATGATGATAGTGATGTTGACTGACCTGATGTGAATAATTAGTAGTTTCATGGGCATAATTTATCAGGAAATGATGTAAGAAAGATTGATGTTCTTAACAGGTAAGGAAGATTTATGATCTTATGTAGTAACACATGTTAATTATCCTGTTTATTACTGTTAAACACTTTATATCAAAGTATCATTATTACTTTCACAAGTGTTAGTCAAATACTGAACTGAATGTTTTGATTAATATATTTTTGAAAACAGCCTTAAACATTCACCTGAATAGCCCTAAATCTATTCCTAAATTTTTATTTTTTTTCTGGCTAGAAAGCCTATAGATGTAATATTGCATTCACATAAGTGGATTTTTCCCATATGTATATTACAAGTTTTTTCTTTCTACTATGTTTTTTATAACTCACTTCTTAGATAATGCTTCATAAACTGGTATATATTTCAAATTTTATGGTGTTTATCTAATAACGCTGAAAAAATGATATATAAGTGTTACAAATATATACTGTTGATGGATAATGACTTCCTTATATTTTCCAGGTCAACAATTTTGAGCCAAGTCCAAGCCAGTTCACCAAACAAGCTACCTTCTTGTAAACTTGTGTTAATTTTAGGTAAGCTTTCGTGTTTTTTTTTCCTCCTCTGCTGGATTTAAATTAAAAGATGGATTGTTTGAAGTGACTTTACTGACCTAAATATTTTGCAGAAATTTGTAAGTGAATGGTATTTGTATTGAAAACTCCTTTGTGTTATTTTTTTGTTATAGGGTCATTTAAGCTCAAATGGACGAGTTATGAAGGTAGTAGCTTTCACCACCTCCCCCAGAACAATAGGGAAAAATATCATGAATAACCCCTAATATAATAGAGTTTAGGTTTTATCCTAGCCATGGTGGTTTTCCAGATATTCCCGATAACAATTTCACCTGTGAGCTTAAAGTGAAGTTGAGTCAAACACTGTTAACTTCTAAAATATTTGTTGTGGACATGTTATTAATGGATCTGACTACAGTTGTTTAAGGGGATTCCAATTATATATTTCAATTTGATACAATGACTTGTCTTTCTTTTAATCACGTACACACACTCCTGTCCACAGTACAGGGTTAATGAAATATTAATCATATGCAAATAAGAAAACTGTTCCAGGGTAGGAAAACAGTGCAAGTAAAAATAAATCTGTAACTTAGACCTTATATTATGATAATATATCTTGAATTACTAAAGTCAATTTTGATGACATTTGACCAATTTTTCTCTACCAAGAATAGTGTTAGTATCAATTTAAAACTTGATTCATGGTTTTTCCAAGAAAACAGTCCATTGATGTTTGATGATCAGATCTCCTGTTGTGATGTTCTAGTTTTTAATTATAAAGGTCCACCAATCACGAGAAACTGTGCTAAATTCTCTCTTAAGATGTTCAGGTAAACTTTTTGTTTTATTGTTGTGTTTATTTCTTCTGGTAGGTAATCATTTGAAACCTAACTCAGTTGAGACTTGTTACTCCTATGATATGTCTGATCAGCTTATAGCAGACTTTTAAATTAGAAGCTTAATTTGAATTTGTTGTATACCATAATTTCCCCAAAAGGGGGCTGAAGGCTGCTTGAAGGGATAACCTCTTTTAACCTCTTGCATCACTATACAGTAGTGTGTTGTTTGTCAGTCAGTCAGTAGACATTAAATGACATTACATAAGGGATGCTTAACATTGCAATTTGTACTGTTGTGATGTCAATAAAACGTGCCCATGCCATGAAACATGAGAAGAACTATGCACTCTATAGGCTACAATGCAGAATGACATATGAACTTAAAAAGCAAGAAATAATAATATTTGTTAGTCTTAGTTTTGGTTTTATTTACTTTAGAAACAGAATACTTTTGGGGATCCTGCAGAAGTACATCTAGTATATGTTACTATGCAATATGTGGTTGTGATAATTACCTCTAAATAAGGAATTAAAACAAAATGTTAAAGTTAATATTGTATGTATCCAGCTTTGGTACAGTAATTTAGTTTTATAGTCCTGTGTGCTAAAAACAAACATAAAAGTGGTTAAACTATGTTTATTCACTTGTTTCAACCAACCAAGTAAAATTAAGTAGTTAACCATCATTTAAAACTCAGATCAAGAAAATTTTAACCAAGGATATGCATTGATATTGAAATACCTAGACCATATTAACTTGTGATATGATGTTATTGGCATTTTATATTAAAGCCATAGTTATTGTAAATATATACAAATTGTATTATGTTTTTCATATAGATGTATTGAAAGAAATCATGATTAAAATTTTTTGTTTACATTCACATAACCTTGTTTATTATTAATTTTTATAAAACCTCAAAATATTTATTCATTATAAACCTTAGAATGTGATTTTTTCAAATTCCAGAATGCTTATTTGCATAAAATATGGTGTCATTAAAATTTCTTAAAATTTGTCACTTATCATCTTGGATATGCTGTCATGCATAAGTTTAGGAGTAAAAGGTAAAACTTTCAGGCACCATGTTTCAAAGTTATTTTTTATAATTTTTTCTTTCTGTTTCAGGAGATGATGAGTGTGGGAAAACTTCACTCATTGCTAAACTACAAGGGAATGAAGATCCAAAAAAAGGCTCTGGACTAGAGTATCATTATATTTTAGTTCGAGATGAATACAGAGATGGTAAACGTATTTTTGTTAGTAATTTATATATTTACCTTCCCAGCTTAAATCTCTTAAAGTAAATCTAAGTGTGGTAATTAAAGAGGTGTGCTGTGAAGACTTGTCATTCTTTTCTTTTGGGTCAACATTTTTGAAGGAGTAAGGGACAGTGACATGTGTGCAGTATTTCAATTAATATTCAAAACCAAAGTTTACAAATTTTTTCCTTAATCTATCTGTAACTGGATTTAGCATTAGTAAATTTATTATTTATCAGGTTTCTAAGTTTTGATTTTATGTCCACATAGTTGTATCACAATTCTTCAACACATTTCAAAATGTTTTAAGTGGTAATATGATCAATTCATGTATACCTTTATCTACATATGTAGACATTGTGTAGAACAACATGAAACACATTTAGAATAAAAGTATTAGAAAAAAATGTAAGTAGTGTTATTTTATAGTGAGGGTTGATTTTTTTAAAAAGAGTTTCAGATACTTTTAAAGAGAAAAATCAAGTTTTTTTTTTATAGTCTTTAATACTTTTAATTGGAAAATCAAGCACAATTGTAGTAAATTATATTCTTTAAAAATTAATAAATATTTATAATTTTCAAATAGTCATCACATGAAATCATAAAACTACAGTACTAATTTGAGCAAAATTAGTTGAAAAACATTGCAGAAATGTATAGAAGACTAGAAATGCTTTATATTATTTACCAGTGGGAACTGAATCCTATGAATGGTCATAGGTAGGTAATTGACACTGTTTTTTAACATTTCACTTTTAGTGTCTTGTAATATCGATGATTCTTACATACTGATTTTTAAGAGTTGTAGGAAATGGATTGCAATAAGAATAAAGTTAGTTCACTTGATTTGGGGAAAAAAAAAAGATTATAGTAAAGAATATTACTGCTAAACTTGCCATTTCATGTCATCTGTCTGTAACAGTTACTGTAATGTTGTTTTAGTGTAAGTATACCCAAAGATGTGTGTGTTATCCTTATTAGAATAGTTACTCATTTGAGCTAAAGCTCTATTAATTATTACTTAGAGTTTAATTTTCAAAAAGGGGCTGGCTATTGATAAGGAACTACATCATATTAATCTATGTTATTTATATGTAATGCAGTCAACTTTGGTCACATGTTAATTTTGTCTGCATTTCTCAACTTGGTGACTTGTGTGTTAGATGTTGGTGCCATCTTTTTGTTTTCAAAGAATTAAAAGAGGCTGTTAACTATTTACTCTTTATTCAGAAATAAACTTTCATATATAGCATAAATAAAATATTGAACCTGTATCTTTTAAACCTACTATTTATATAGAAAAAATAATTAAAATGACATAACAGTACATTAAGTTCTGTAATTCGTTAACTGACTGAATGCAGAAATGAGCAATTCTAGCATACTGACTTCCATTTTTCTAATTTAAGCCATTGGTATCTGGGTCAGTTTTGATGATGTGATTATGTGTGACCAGCTTTGGTGCAAATAACTTAAATTGAAGAGATACTGGTCTATATCAATAGCCACAAAATTTCAAATGATGAAAGTGTTTAAGAGTTTAATCAATTTTTACAGTATTTTATTTTATATATTTTTTAAGTGTGAATAGACACTAATCTGAACTAGATTTACTCATTGTCTAAAAATTTGTTATAAAAAACAGAAAATTAGAAAATTTAATCCTTTATCTTGCAATGTTTTTTTAAGTTTTAAAAAAGAATAAATTCAAACACACTTTTCTCTGAAACTAGCACAGTTCTGTATGTAATAAACTGCTTGATTTTACATAAAAGTAATATTCATACTTTTGAAACTTGTGTGATGCGAAACACTTCCAGATCACACACAGCTCGGAGTGTGGATCCTAGATGGAGACCCATGGCACAGAAACCTCCTAAAATATGTTGTAAATGAAGTATCCTTCCCCCATATCACAGTTCTCCTGGCAGCATCCATGACCCAGCCATGGAATATTTTGGAGTCTTTGGAGAAATGGGCTATGATTTTAGAAGAAAATCTTGATAGACTGAAGCTAGACTCGGATCTTGTAAAAGAATTCAAACAGAAAAGTAATTTTTAGTCTGTTTATTTAATAATGAATTTGATTTTGTATAGAAATTATTTGTATAATTAAATGTTAAAGGCAGCTGCAATTGAAATATGATGAAATTTACAAACAAATTTTATTAAAGTAATGATTACAATATGTTAAGTTTGTAGATCAGAAACATTGGTTACACATATGAAACCTAGTGTTTTATAAGTTAAGTAATAGTATTCTGCTGATACAATTGTATTTAACTAATATAACTAGATATATATATATATATATATATACTTAAGTGCAAGTTTGACAGTAGTAAATAATAGTTTTCAGTGCAGGTCTGACAATAAAAAAAATAATGTTTTTAATTTAGGTGTGACAGTAGTAAATAACTATTTGGAAGCATTAATACATACTTCACAAAGAAAAAGTACAAGCATTAACTAGATGTAATATATGTAGTATAGTGTGTGATGTAATAGTTATTGTTGTGATGTACTGTCTGTCATCATGATTAACTTTCACTTCAAGACATGTATGTTTGGAATACATCATTCTAATAAATATACTTAGCTTGCTTATATAATTACTTAAGGTGCAAAATTCCTGAATTAATAAGTTATGACACATCCAAGAAAGTTTTCTACACAGTTGTTCAACCAGAAAGTTAAGTCTTGGGGACATTTGATTTCATAATCACCAATTTTATTATAATACTTATATAAGAAAAAGAGGGGGATAAGACATTTTAAAATGTGGACTTAAAGACAGGTTTATGAGAATAAATAAAAATAGAGGGGGGATAAACATTGTGTTTGAGTTCAGTAGAGTACCATTTCATCACTAAAAGCATACTTACTGGCCTCAGAAGTACTTTAAAAATGTTTAGTACATTAACTTACTAGATAGTAGATTAACTTAAAAGATAGTTATTACACAAATTCACTGTTGACCTTAGTCTCTCCCACATAGAAATATACATTTTTTTGGTGACAAGAAATGTTGCTCCTTATTTCAAGGCTTAGTTTTTCCTTTATGACATGGATTTTGTTTTTGTTGTCCCTTTATGTTACTGATTTAATCAATCATATTTTTCAGTTTGATGCAATTTAAATGAAGTTTGTTTTTGCCCATTTGTTTTATACATTGTTCCTGCCCAATTTTTGTGATTTTTTTTTTCTTGGATAATAAAAAGTTGGTAGAATTCTTCTAGATTTTTTTTCTTTTTTTATCATGATCATGGCTTTCTGAGGAAATTTTTTAAGTTCTTATTACTTGAAGTCTTTCTCTCAGAAGTGAGAAGCTTGTATTTCTTACTCTCCCTTCATGTTGAACATTTCCCTGTTCTCAAACTTGTTTTTACTTTGTACCATTTCTCATTGACCCAGTTGCCCTCTGAAGCTTTTTTCTCTAACTTCCTAGATCACTATGTGGGGGGTTCACTCTTATCTTCCAACTTGCAGGTAAATTAGTTGGATTTGTTTCATTAATATTCTTACTCTTTTTTTTTTAGCTGCAGCATAGGGGCTCATAGAATGGCTCTGAGTTGATATTGTTGTTGTTTTTCAAGTATAAATTTTTAGCTCATAGCTCTGCCATCTATTGACTGATTTGAGATCTAATTACAGTTTTGGACTCAGGAGGTAAAACAAAACCCTTTTGATTGATGTATTTGACCATGCCCATGGTTTCATAGATCACTTTATTCTAATTCTGCCTAAAATAATTTCTAGTTGAGGGTAAGCTGGTAGAGATCCTGATGAGTAATAAAATCGAATCGGGAATACGCACACCCAAGGAAAAAAGGATCTCGTAGTTTAATTTACTATAATCCTGCCTGAAAGAATTTCAAGTGCTGTGGCTATTGGGGATTCCCTCTTGTTTTTACTGACTCTTCTTTGTCCAGATGTGCATCACCCTATTTTCTGTGTACTGTATATTTCCTGTACAAGTTTATTTTTACAGATGTTACAGGAGTATGGTATGTGGAGCTTTCTTCACAACTGATTACTTGAAAATATGCTAGAATTCTTCGGGATGACTCACTGTAAAAAACCCTAGAACTCTGAGTTTTTGGGCTTCTGGAAAGATATGACCTGATTCTTCCCTTTTGTCTTCCAAGATCAGACGCTTTATGAGTCTGTAGTTCTCAGTTTTGCTCTTCTAGAAAGATATATGTCCTGATTCTTACCCTTGTCTTTTTATTCAATCTTACTGACAACTTTCTTTGCTCAAGCTCCTTTAATAGTTCTTGTCTTGTGAGAAAACTATTAATCTTTTTGTTTGCTTACTTGATTGATTAAATTCTATTCTTTGAGTCAATGTGTTAGTCAGGTTCTAATAAACTGACTTCTCATTTATTAGTTATTGTTTCTTTCCTTCTCCTAGCTCAACTCTTCAGTGTTAGATAGAGTGGTGGGTGTTTGTTTTCAAAACACACATTTTTTGAAATCTTATCTATCAGATAATTGTAACTTTACCCCAGTTTATTTGTGGTATATAAATGATTAGCTACTGACAACTGTGAATAGAACAATCAAAGTTGAACTGATTTCTGTTGGGTTCTCACTTGGATACTGAAGTTGTTCTTCATGCAATAGATATATTTTTACTTGGTTTTGTTCATTCTAACTTCTAAATGTTTATTTTTTCTATACAGCAATATTATTTTTTGACTTTTATTCTTCTATATAATTTAATTATGGTTCCAGTTCAATTTCTTAGTCTTTTTTCTTCCTTTTTACTTGATTATGATTTTGTTGAAACGTTGTGTAGTAACGTGCAATAACAATTCCTTTGTTTGCCAGTATGAATAAGGTTAATGGATTGATGTAGTTCCATTAACATCAAGGAAAATTCCAGTACAAGATCAGACTTTACACTAAATGTTGCTTTAAATTTCTGAGACAAACTTGTGTATGCCAGCAACTTCAAAATAATTGAATCATATGGAGAAGCAAGATTTTTGAGAGTTAAAGAAAGTATTTGATCATTTATCTAAGACCAACATTAAGCTTTTAAAACATCATGACTTATAGTGTATATTCTTCATATTATCTGCTTCTGGTTATTTGCTGCATTATATTGTTATCCTACATTCTCCGTGGAAAGTTTGGGCTCAGGACAAGTATTTTGTCAAGTTACTTTATTTTCAGTTTGAGTTGATTTTCAGTTAGATACAAACCATACCCTATTAACTATTTCTTTGGTGGATGAGGCTTGACCTTGTACAAAGAGCTTTGGATTTTGGAGCTAAGAGCCGTATTCAAATCCATATGATACCTCAAAATATTTCACACACTTTAAGCTGTGGGTGCATTATAAGAGTGACAATCAATCCCTTACTATGGGATTGTAAGATGCTTCTGACTGACTGATTTCTCTCTGGTCAGTAGTTAAAAATTAGGGATGGTGGCAGATAGCTGTATTAGCTTTACCATAAATACAAAATACAAGTGCAATATCATTGGTATTGGAAAATATTTTGCTACTTGAATGAAGACTTCAACATAATGGATAGTTGGGGAATCTTTATTACACCAGCTTAGATTGGATAAGGTTTTCACCTTTGCATTATTTCAATTTATGATGGACTTTTGAGCATTTCAGATACTATGTTTTATGGTATACTTGAAGCTCTGGCCCTTTTGTTTGGGGATTTCTATTTCCCTTGCTGTTTTTTTGGTGGATTTTGAGTTGCTATAGTTCAGGTTATTAAGTTTCTGAGGATTTTGTCTTAAAATACATTATGGACATGCCAAGTGTCTTTGTAATCTGAGTTATGGCTGTCTTGGTCACTTTAGTTATTCCATATGTTTCATTTTGTCTCATCTCCTTTAGATACCTTTTGGTAATCTGGACATTAATTTAACCTGGACCATAAAGAGAAATGCTAACTGTTGTTTATCTTTGGATACATTTGCATTTTTAATTTGGAAAATATTGCTTCCTTTCCACCCAGAGGTAAGTTTAAGTATTCTAAACATGCATTTTTGCAATAAAGAAATTTGAATTTTAACAATATTTATCTATATGTTCATATTCATACATTTTTTCTTCAGATATCTAAGTAAAGTTGGTTTGTTGAAAGAGTCTTTATTACATTATTAAGCATGTGTATTTTGTTTGTTGGTAAAAGATTTAATCATGAGCTCGATTAATTGTTGTGCAACATGAGTTTGAAGTATAGATCATTAGATGGTGGAGCAGGAACAAGTGGGAAAGAGAGAAGGTCAGCAGTGTGCCAAAAAATATCTTCTTATATCCATTCTTAAGTAAGTTACTATTTGCATTTCACCTTAATTTCAATTCATGTAAATAATTTTTGTGGTAGAGACATTTAGGTCAAAAGTTTAGTTACTGTTTGTACAAGTAGAAACATACCATTAGATTGGTGATTTTATTTTTTCTGTCTTGATCTCGCATTACAAGGACTCAACATATTCATTCCTCTGGATTGGTACTTTAATTGTCACCCACGTACTTGAAAATGATAGGAACTGAGAGACTACTTTGAGAAGGATGATATCTGTAAGCAAGTATTTTAATATGAAGTTTAATTTGTTCACTTTTCTCCAAGAAAGTAATCAGCTTGTTATGATGATAACTTTAAGTTAATATTGGATACACCTCAGTATTGTGGTATTACTGAGGAGAACAGTGTGATATTAATGCCATTTACATATTAAGTTATTATTGTTAGCTTAATGGAATTACTGTTGCATGTTGAGTACAATTAACCCTATGTTCACATGTGTGTGTATCAAACTGTGCATGCACTGATCTTTTACAGAGTGCCATTCAATTGGGTATTATGCATATAATATCAGAGTTATAAACAGTTTGTTACCATATGTTGATGATTTTGCAACAGTTCAGAAACAATATAATGGGATGTTGAAAAGAGACTTTAGAAATGTGTTTAGGAGGCTGTAGAGGTTATGCAAACACAGTTTGCAAACTTTATGATGGACAAAAGTATTTTTAAGCTTCATATGAATATCACATTGCATTTGGATTTGCCAGAGTCTGAGCCAGACTAACTTCAGCATTTCACACATACTTTTGTTTAATACAAAAACTTTAGTAACACATCTCATTTTTATCTGCAGCATAGTGGCTTATAGAACAGGTCTGAGGTTTTTTGTTTTTTTTTCAAGTACAAGCTTTTAGCTCATAGCTCCATCATCTCTTGACTGACCTCAGATCTAATTACATTTTTGGACTCAGGAGGTCAAACCCTCTCGATTGATTTATTTGACCATGCCCAAGGTCTCAAAAATTAATGTACTCTAATCCTGCCTAAATGAATTTCAATTTGAGGGTAGGCTGGTAGAAATCTTGATGAGTAATAAAACTGAACCGAATATATGCACACCCCATGCATGGTATTGCTGGCACACAAAAATATAGCTAATAAAATGGAATAAAATTATTCCTAGATTAATTTAATCTAATCCTGCCTGAATACATTTCAAGTGCCATGGCTATTGAGGATTCCCTCTTGTTTGTCTACAATAGACTTTACTGTTGAATAAAAGCTTGGCATATTTTGTGACGGTACACTTTGTAAATTCTGAATTGTAGTTAATATTTCTTGTCCAGTACAGAGTTGGTTCAGTGGACCAGTCCCATCAGTTAATAAAAACTGTGACAGTAAAAAAAAAATTAAATTATGATATTAATTTTGCAAAAACTTTTTTCTATCGTCAAGTATAATAAAATAACAATATATTAATTTTGCTCTTTCATTTTCTGAGATATCCATCATTTTTGAAAATTGTGTGGTAAGTTGAGTATGGGTTTATCATATAAACTTGACATTTTAGTGTCTTCAGAAGCATTTCAATTTCTAGATTAAGTAATTTTCTTTTTAATCTACTCTCTTGAAACAGCTGTAGTACATTCTGATTTTCATATAAGGCAGTATAATGAACAAGATTTTCCTATAGCAGAAAACATGGGCGTTGAGAGCCAGCCCAGGCCCGGGGTCAATAATATCATCGCCCACCACCCCTTTTCATTCTATTTTATTAACTTTTGCTGATTTTTCATTAAAGAAATAAATTACCTGTTTAAGTTTTATTCAAATGTAGTTTTTTTAAAGGTGGAAGAAATCTAATAAAGTTCTTACAATGTGTGTATTATTTTCTCTCTCTTGTTTTTTTTATTGTATCAAGAGCAAACATTTTATCCCTTTTCAAAACCTTTAAAAAGAAACTTATCCATAGCAAAATTGTATGTTTCATTTCAGCTTTGAAACGATTCCAGGAGTATCTTGAACCAAGAGATGAGATAGAAAATGTAACATCTTTAAAAAAAGGATCAGGATCAGAAGAGGAAACCATATCATTACCACTTGATGAAATCACATTAACCTGCAATGTTGGGCTTGATGTGATTGTAGTAGTGACAAAGGTATGTTAACAATATGATACATTTTTTGTGTTTATTTAAATTCACTATATATATTTTACTTTGATTCAAATATAATAAGAATATAAATTATTAAAAAGTCAATTGGTACTTCCGATATGATTACTTACCTCCACTAGCCTTGAAACTCCCACTTAATTCCACATGTGTACCACGTGGTTCAACTGCATTTAAGTACGCAAATTAGCATGCGACAGTCCTCCACTAATAGGAGTGCGAGAAACCCTCATATCATAGTTGACTTCCTCTATGCAGTTGAACCCAAGTTTTACTTCTTGATTTGGCACAACAGTGTTAACACCAACTGCTTGATTTTGAACAATTCTTTCTTCTTCAGTGTGCTTTAAAAATATTCAGTTACTGGTATTTTCATTTTAAAGTATTGTTTATAATCCACTATTGAGCTGGATTTCTTTATTTGATTGGGAATTCTATTTCTCACTCAATTACTGGCAGTCAGTCAATATTTATGAATTCACAATTTAATATTACAACTACAATGACTACCGACAGTACCTGCATTCAACAGCCTATGACAGTGGCTGCAAGTGTGGCATTATCAGCGAAGGAAGCTTCTTTCATGCTCCTTAGGGATCTCCTGATCTACAAACAATATTGCCATTACCTGAGGACTTAGATCAGGAGGATGTGGACTTGGACAGTCTCCCCCCTCCTTCCTTTGTTGTGCAAGCACTTTCTCAGCCTGTAGAAGCACCTAGACCTCATTCATCATTTTTAGACGTGATATCTTAAGTATTTTGTCTTTGTCACCCATGTCATATGATCCTTCCCCGTCCTTATTAAGTGCAGTACCTAGTTCTGAGTTTTGTTTTGCAGATTGATTACATGTGGGGTATGATATGCTGCATCCCCCATGTACTGCAGAGGCTATTGTTCTTGCATATCATTGTTAAGCAAACCCTTGGATCAATTGAGTTTTGTCAAAATGACTCTCTGTGTTTTTCCTTCCACCTTATTCCCTGTCCCAGTTCCTTTCCCCCCCTGAAGTTTCTGTTTTCCAATAGCATTTCACAGAAGCAGTTCAAGATCTCCTCATCAATGGCACCATTGTACAGTTTTCTCCTGTGCTTCCATGATTCTATTCCTGACATTTTGTCATTCTCAAAATGAGCAGGTATTGGCATCATGTTTTCTTTCTCTCCCATCTGAATCACTTCCTCAATATGCCTTGGTTCACCATGGAATCCTACCTATCTCTCAAATAGGCCTTTCTTCCAGGGCTTTAGATGACAAGATTTGATGTGTCTGATGCTTATCTTCTCATCCTTGTTGCTCGGGCATCACATTATTATCTATGTTTTTTCCATGAGAATCACGTTTATCAATTTCAAGCTCTTCCTTTTGGGCTGGCATTGGCACCCTATGCTTTCTGTCTGGCAGTCCAGTCATTTGCCCATTTCCTACATTTTCACAGGCTCAGTTTCTATTTTTATATGGACAACACACACCCAACTTCTCAGAGAAGCTGCTCAGGTGGGTTGGTTTATTGGAGAAGTCTGTTATCCACCCCATTCAATATCTTGTTCATCTGGGGTTGTTTTTACAACTCACATCTCAGTTGAACACTGCCTTCTCCTCTTCATCTGCAATCCTTAGAGTTTTTAGTTCAGAGAGCACTATCAGCACCTTCTCTCCTTGAGTGAGAGGTTCTCTCTCTTTTGGGAACTTGGGCATCACTGGAGGCTCTTATCATTCTGCACTGTGTCCACAAATGTTCCTTGTAGTGGCTCCTCATCAGGAACTCTCTGGATTTACAGATATCCTTCTTTGCTTCAGTCCAACTTCCTATGGTAGTTACAGGGACAACACAACAGAGGGAGTACCTATTTCTCCTCCCTGTCTAAATATTCATGTCTTCACAGTTGCCTCATTGTGAGGATGGGGTACATGCTGCAATACACAGGAGATCTCAGGCCATTGGTCTCGGGAAGAGTTTGGTCTTTACATCAACCTTTCGGAACTCCTTGCTGTTCGTTGGGTTATGGTTCATTTTTTCTCATATCTGTGGGGCATGACAGTTTTGACTCATTCTGACAACTCGATGGTTGTCTCTTACATCATCAGTCAAGGGGGCACTCTATGTTCCCACAAAGCTAGACCTCCTCTTCTGGCCACAGCCATCAAATTCGTTTGCTGGCTTGTCACATACCAGGTACCCTCAATCTTGTCAATGATCATTTGACCCATCTCAAGAAGTTTCTACCCATTGAGTGGTCTCTTGACCTCTTGGTATTTTGATAGCTAATTCTCAGTTGTATTTTCCCCAACTGGATGCATCTGCCACTCATTTGAATGACAAGCTTCCTATCTTTTGGTACCCAGTTCCACATCATTTGGCTTTGGCCATGTAGGCATTCAGCCAGGATTGGAAGGATCGTTTCATTATGAATAGTCTCCCATATGTCTTCTACCACAGAATCCACTCTGTGTTGGATCCTTCTTGTGGCTCCTGTCTGGCTAGCTCAACAATGGTTTCGTCCTTGTCCAGGAACAACCTCCATTACCTCTCCCTCTCTCCCAGCCCTATAGCTCACAATGGTTGAAAAGGACAGACCCATGTCAAACAACCATGTAAAAAATCAGATACTTGACGAAGAGATAGACCATGCTGAATATTCTCCACTTATATCAATACAAAGACATGGATGAGGTATGGAGAGTGTTAGACAATTGGGAAGCTACACATATGACTAGACAAAACCCACTCATGAAGCCACTCATGGAACGGAAGTATGAAGAACCCTAGAATGAGGATGCTGGAGAAGGGATGGCGCTGTCATCTACATTTCGTTTTTCCCATTTTTGCCATTTGTTTTCCTATCCAGTTATTTCCCTTCCTTCCATATATCTTACTTACTCCCACCTTGATTCGGATTGTCTCCGGTTCATGCTTCACAGTGTTACATGTCACACAAAGCACCCTCTTGCTTCCATTTGTTTATCCATTGGAATCCATCCATTTTTTGTCATTTTTCACCCATCACCCTTACTGGTTGGGTTCATCAGGTTATCTGTATTGCATATTCCTCCGTTTCTCCTAAATCTTGCCAGTTGTTTTGTGTATCATCTTATCAGGTCCATCACTTCACAATGTCCTTGGCAGCTCATTTCAGTCGTTCTTTGGAGGAGATTATCCGGGCTGGCATGTGGACCACTCCCTACATTTTTGAGTCACACTACTTGCATCATCTGGTCATTTCCTGCTCAGCCATATATTATCTTCGCCCTGTAATCATTCTTCATACATCAGTACAATTATGAATGGGTAAGTTATTTCAGTTCTCCATTTTTTTTCAGGAATCTAATTAAAATGTTATGGATTCTGATCTGTGACAAGTGGTGCCTGTCCAGGTACACTGATAAACGAAATCTACATTGTGAGATTTATAAGGTCTATCACACTCGCTGTTGAGATGGGATGTTCCACAAGACTGCTTGCAGGTTCTTCCTCGCAGCATTATATATCATAAATATGTTCCTACTGGACTGTACACTCATGGACTAACACGAGGGGGGGAGAGAAATGCATTGGAAAGTCTAGAAGAATGCACCACCAGAGAAAAGCAGGCTGTTCTTGATTTGGCAATCTAAGGAACATTAGAGCTAGGCAGCAATCTCTTTCTGCTTTACCCCCTTTTCCAGTGGAGTATGGGAGTCCTTACCATTTACCAGTTCCTAACCACTGGGGTGGTGGATCATGGAGGAATTCTCCTGAGTGTGCACATTTTCACTGAGTCGAGAGTAGAGTGGTGGTGTTCTGCCTGTGTAGGAAGTGTGACTATCCTCCTGCTGTGGGTCTGATGTTGTATTCCAAATGCTGCCGGTCTAGAGTGGATTTTTATATCAATTTTGCAGTTTGCCCCCTCCAGCTGGAAACCTACCCTCCTACCACTGCCTAAATGTCAATTCCTGAGCGACTGATTTTGGCTGGAGCAGCTAACATAAGTCCTCACATATGAGTGGGTTGGGACCTTCGTCCTACCATGGACTGGATGTTACATCACCAATGCTGATTGGCTTTGGACAGGAATTGACCCTGCACATTGCATTTCCACCTTCCTGATGTCATCTGGATGTATATTCCTGGGGTTTATTGCTGCAGATTGTATTGTGTTTGTGCACATGATGGTTTAAGTTCTCAGAATGGAAGCTCCTCTTCCCTTCTGGTTCCTAGACCTGAGGTGAATGGTTGAGGACACTCCCCCTTCCATGGGCTGTTCCCTTTGAGCTACGTGGCTGCACAACAACCAATCAAGTGCCACACACTTCATTATGTCAGCCACACACATCCTCAGTAATGGAGAAGTCTCAACACATTGATGGCCTTAATGACCTTGGCAATCCTTGGGCCTAAAGCCCAAAAAACTAACTGGTAGCATTGCAAAGCAGTCTAATGATCCAATAGGGTCGATGGTGTAAAAGTGCCCCCCCCCCTAAATAAAAAGTTAGTAACACACATTCACACATTGCTTTGATACTGGTACACATGAAAAAATTCATTCCAAACGTGGATTGAAAATTTAGAGGGAAGATTGGCCAGTTGAGTTCCTCCTGGTGCCACTGGTCTAGACTAGAGTTGACTTCCCGCTTATAGTCCGATGCACCCTAGCCACTCTATATGCATTCCTCTTCCTTAGAGATTTATATTTGTTACCTTGTTCCCCCTTTTCATTGTGACACCACACCTATTGGCTCCACATTGCAGAAGAGTATACCTGGTTCAGATGTGGTGTGGTCTCCCCTGAGTGTTGTCCACTCCACAGAGATGGCACACTCCATGGGTGCTCTTCAGATGGTTTTGAAGGGTGCTCATCTAAGTACTTTTACACTGGTCCCTCCACTATCTCAACATGGGATTCTAGTTATAACTGTGAGAAGACGTAAGTAATTGTATTGGAAGTTAATACTTTCCTATACTGAAAATATTAATTTTTGCAACTCCTCTTTCACCCATTTATTACTAGAAGATTTCCAATTGTTACATCGTTAAGCATTATTGTAAATATAGCGTACTACAAACTGATAACAATTTATGGAGTTTGTATTCATATCCCATTTAAAAATTATTTAGAATTTGATGTTACTAGTATGAATTGAAATGTTTAAAACGTCTTGAAATCACATTTTTTATGATAATTGTTTATTTTTTGCTTTAGAATGTAACCCACATAACAATATTCTCCCTGTAGTTCAATTTTATTTCATAGATCATCAGAAATAGACTTATCAGTAGCTGAGTTTACTTGTATTTGAGGAAAAGTTTTAAAGAAATGTTAATGAAGTTGTACTCGGGAGACATTCAATAGAGAATAAGATGTTTGTTTATTACAGAGACAGTAAAACTAGTTATAACTGCTTGTATATTTAGATTAGAGATGAAGTAAAACCTCTGAAATTAGTTTTATAGGAAAGTGTATAAGCATTTGTAATATGAATGTTTTCAAAAATCTCTTAAAATTGTATATGCTTCTTTTTCTTATAAATTTTGTGAAAGCACAGTTTTGGATTTGTTACAGACTTAAAATTCAGTTTTATATGCAATATGTATTACATCTTATTTTTGCAAATCCTTTCACAAAACAGTGAGAGAAGTATTTTATACTGCTATAACAAGGATTGATATATTTTCAATATATATGTGTATATTTTGATCTCTGAAAGCATATAACAGAAGTTATTATGAAGTATACTGTATTGGAAGCTAGCTCTGATAGAGGTTATGTGGCAGAGGGTGTATAATACAACAAAATCTACAATTATTCAATTCTAGAAAGAGAAAATGACCATTCTGTGCCTATACTAATGTGTGTTTACATAGTTCTAGGTTATTGTTACTTTACAAATTAGCACACACACACACACACACACACACACTTATTTATCTAAAATGGCTTTCATTTAATTGAATTAAAGACATTTCTAACTGAAATTTATCCCATGCATAACAACTATTAAGTTGGTAGCCACACACTTAAAAAGAGTCACAAACATAAAATAGCGAGTAAAGCAAAGTTTAAAAAAAGAGGATTTTTAAAGAAACTTACTGAGAGGGATAAAACAAATTTTGTTACAAATGTAAAATTTATTTTGGAACTTTAATTTTCTGTGATAAAGAGCACTAGTTTATAGGGATAGAGACACTACGAACATAAGAGTTCAAAGATAAATTTAAATAAGTGTTACATTTGCAATAACATTTATTTTTATCCCTTCCATATATGTATATATATAATTTCATTTGTTTGATGTTTTTTAGTTTGAGCTCATTTATTATCTAGTAACTAGTTGGTAAAATAGTAGGCTAGTTGATTGTTAGAACCCTAGTTTGATTTTAGTTGAGCTCATTTTCCTTTGGAAGTGCTTTTTGCGGAAAGATAAAGGAGTTTGATGATCAATTATGGAAACTTGTTAGAGATTGAATAGGTTTTAGACACCTTGCAGTTTTATTTAAAAGTAAGAGTTTGTGGTTCACACAAACCAAGTTGCTTGATTCTGGCCACTGTTTTTTCTGTATTGAATGTTTAATTTTGTGATTTCTTTCTTTTTAGACTGATTTTATGTCCACATTGGAAAAAGACTATGATTATAAAGATGAGCATTTTGACTTCATTCAGCAAGCACTCAGAAAATTTTGCCTGAAATGTATCCTTTAATATGAAATTTTTCTTTTTATTGCCACATCTTACACCAGTAAAATTATCATCAGTCTCTGTTGTAATATCACAAATATCATACCAACCACTGATTTGTATTATGGTGGACAAGCAAAAGTACTCATCCCCAGTTACAGAAAAGTTTAAGTTAATCCATCAATTTAAATTATTTCATGGACTTTTAAAAAAGGTTAATTTAATTGTGTCGTACTCTTTCAGAGCCAAAGCTGTGAGCAACTTATACTGCCCACTGCAAAAAAGTAGTTGTTGAACATTTCAATCATGTTAAGAGCCACTCAATAATTTCTTACCATAAATCTACATTTTTATTCTTTAAGTTACGTCACATTTTGAATTGTGAATCATAGTGTGATTAATTCCTAACACTTTAGTGTATAATATCCTGCTTGCAAAATAAAATTTGACATTAACATTTTTCATGAATGTACTCCTGTAATTTCAAAAATAAATGTTGAGGTTTATCTCTATGTGCAGCTTTTCAAATGCAGCTTGGGAAGCAGCTGTCGTAAATGGGGATAGGCAAATGCTTGGCACAGACACCATGTTTGCAACATATATATATACAAGATTAGAAGTATATAACGTAATATGTTGCAGAAATGAATCAAGGTAAAAAGAATTATATGATGCTATAAAATGTTCTGAATGTGTATGATAATTTGTTTTTCTACCTTATCAGTTTTGTATGTATGTTAGACTATTAATTATAACTTACAGCACTGTTTTAATTAAATATGGTGTATCTACAAATGTAATTGTTCACAAAGAGAAACTTAAATTTTCAGAAGTTTTGGGAAAAAAGCAGTTATCGTTTCACAAGTTTATATTGATTTTAGGCTGTAATATTTACTGCAGTGATTTCAAAACATCATTACTGATATATATATATAT